AAATACATTCATGTACTTATATGTGAAACGTTTATTTAAACGTAGTGCAGAGTAAGTACTGACTACTGTTGTGAGTAAATTCTATAAAATAAATGGCACTATTATTTATCACTTTCATCTATCAATTTTCATTGTATTCTTTTTGCCTTACTTACAAATTTTTCTTTAATGTACCATAATACATATATTTATTTTGTAATATACATGATCTCCAATTTCGTCACATTGTCTGTTGTTTTTTATTTATGAAAAAAATATTTTTGTCGTACATTTATTTTATAGAATAGCGGAATACTCCCAGCTCAATTTATCAGTCAGTAAGTAAACATTTTTTTTGTTCAAACAACCTCCCGATGTAATGAACTGAATGGAGGCGATAATGGTGCTGGGAAGAGAGCTTATCGTAAATATGCGAACAATAAGCGCACATGTTGCCAGATTTAGAGACATCGTCCGCGTTTAAAGGCGATCAAGCCGTAACGCGTGGGTGAGTCTGCGAAGTTGATTACATCTTCAATCTTGTGAGCGATAAACTCCCATGTTACGTAGACACATTAAAATTGTTTTAAGAATTAATATTACAAAAGTATCTTATTAGTTCCTTGAATTATTATTGTAGAAATATACATTTAAAACAGCGTAAGATTATTAAAATTTTTGTACATTAAATTGAATAATTTATATTATAAATATAACATAGATTGTGTTATTAAATTTCCTCTTTTTCCAAATTTATATTACATTACTCCACTCCACTCCACTCCACTCATTATATGTTAAAGACGAATTTTTTTATCTACAACGATTTGCGATTTTTATTCGAGATTTAACTAAAATCATCCGAAATCCAGTAATCTTTCTACATTATGCTAAAACTGTTTTAAAATAGGAAAATAAACTGAAGTTTGGAGTAACTCCTAAAGTGATAAATCGTGACTAAAAATACGAAAGGAATTATAGTAGTGCCATTTGATGATGTAGTTGCGACGTGGTACCTCGCTATCGATCCGATTACAAAAATACGATAATATTTTAAAGACCGGACTGAGTTTATCTGTTTTCTAATGCAATCGATTGAAATAATCCTATTGATGCCGGTATTAGGGAGCACAATGAAATGCATTATTGTAAAACGAAACCATCGTAAAACGCCTAATCTAATTTACCTGATGAACTTATGTAAGTTGCAATTTGCCGCAATATCTCTGTGCCTCATGCATGAAACAGCAATTTATATAACTCCTTTTCGCGTGCAAAGATTGGGATATCGTTGAGCCAGTCATAAATAGAGTCAATGAGTTCGAATAGTGCAATCGTATCACGCGCAAGATTGATAATGTGCAAGTTAGTTTTAACGTAGGTATATCACCAGTCTATTCTACACAATATGATGAAGAGAATTAAGTACTACGCAATGTATTTTAATATGTATAAATTAATATATATGAACCATAGACGTTACGTCTATGATATGAACATATCTCATTTGCTGTAACAACGACATAACTAAAAAACAATGTTTTTTAAAAAATAAGCTTGAATGTTGTAAATTGTCAAAATTTTGTAATATCATTTTTAAATGTAATTGTAGTGTAATAATTGTTTAGAATAAAAATATACTAGCTATTCTCATTCAGTGTACTGAATCCGCATCAATCTTTTACAGACAACTAAAAAAATATTATAGCAAAAAGCGATATACTTTTGGCACGTCAAGAATGTTTTATTTTATTTTTATCGATCAAAAGTTAGACGATATATCTGAGAAAATTACTTTACAATTTTACTATTTCTTCAAACTATTGGAATTTAATTATACGCAACAAATAGTATTTAGAGCTTTAGATCGCGCTAATTGCATAATAAGCATACATAACCACTTATTATTTATGATTTCCAGTAGTATATGACAAAACTGTTTCTGCTATTATGCCCAGAAATTGCGATGATCACTTTTGATTGCTTAATTTCACGTGATTCGCTTCGAGACTTTTATTATATGTATAGTAAGTAGCCAATCTTGCGCGAAGTTAATTGAGTTTGTAAACGTTCGCGGTGCGGCGATTCGTTAAGATATTCAGCGCGCGAATGCGTTTCACGTCATCCCGCGGCGACTTCACGGACGTGTTTAATAAACGGCGGTTTATCTGTCGGACGTTGGCCTCGCAAATGGTTCGGATCGCTGTTGCCCGTTCTAGACTGGAGGATGAGCCGACTCTCGGCTCATCCGAGTGAGTGGTGTAAACGGGTAAAAATCTATAGGTTATGTATAGTTTATGTCACGTACACTATAGAAGGCGGATGAGCCGAGAGTCGGCTCATCCTCCAGTCTAGAACGGGCATGTAGGATCTCTCGGCGATGCAGTAGGCAAGAAATACGGATACGTATTGACACGTGATAAATCGTTAATGCCGACTCGTGCCGAGCGCGCATTTGCGCCCGAGGTGCGCTTTCAATTAGGCCATCGATAAAATCGCGCAACCTGTTATCCTGTCGAGCATCGAACACATGGAGCGCTCGATAAAGAAAAACACTTAGCCACGAGATGTGCGCATAATATTATAAATTATATTAATGTTTGCGGCGAAGGCATCGATCGCGCGGCTCGCCTGGTAACCGCGGAATTACACTGGGACATGTATTTATTAAGTGTAGCGATGCAATTTGCATTTTGCGTCGGTAAAACTCGCACGCCAATGGTTTAATTGAATTCTTGAGCAATGCCCGCAGGTGGTGTCTCCGGCCCCGGCCGCGTATATTTTTTTAAACGTGACGATAAACGTGCCACGCAATTAAGGAGACTCATGCTTGACTCAATGATCTTCGAAGAAATTTGATGAGTTTAATGATCTTTGAAGAGGAGAAAATGTCAAAGTAACGACTTGGCCAGTATGATATGACGTGACGATTAATTATTAAAATACATATATTGATTACTTTCCATAAAAATAGTCAAAATGTAAATATTTTGAAAGAATAAATCCAATTCTTCCTCGATCCAAATCCGTTTCTCGAGCATAATTCTTCTTATCTGTGAATTTAATAATATTATATTCTATAATTAAAAATATTGGTCAGTACAATATCATAGGTGTATATATATGTACAATAATATTTAAATAATTTCATCAAATAAACAGTTAGTAATATGTAATTTATATAGGAAAGCGTAAAACTCGTATTCAGTTTCAGTTATAACACGGAATAATTACAGTATCCATAATAAATTATGCTCACATCTGTTATATGGAGGAGAATAGAATTACATCCTCCATTGTTTACATCAAACATATACACAACGATAAAGCAAGCAATAAATTTTCATTATACAATATCAAAATCTGGAAACAATTTCACGATAACTGCGCGCAGTTTCATTGAAGATTCCTTATCATCATAAATTACTTTATGAATTACTGAGATTGTCTTGTTAGTGTTTCATTTTGCTATATCCGGATTTATTTCTTCATCGCGATGTATAAGAGCAAAACAAATGTCATTTATCAGCATATCAAAAAGAAAAAAAAACGATTTGTACATTACGATACACACAAATGTGTATCGTAATAATCGCGACGATTTTGTGTGCTTTATCGTAATATAAGTAATTATCGGACGAAAAAAAAAATAAAGAAAAACCGACGGCACGTCTTGGTTGCGATACGGTACCCGGCTATAGCTGTGAAAAGTCACGTCTGACCTTATCGGCCTACGTAAAAAGCTCGTAATTTAGGTAAATGACAATCGATAGCTATTCCGAGACACGTGCTAAGTGCGCGCTCTGACAAATGGTAACGTGTATTATGGAAAATGTATATCACGTATGAAGCGTCAGAAAGTTTGTGTTTGCAAGACCTTAAGGTGCCAATTCATGAGACGCTGAAAATGAGCGTCAACAAGGTGAACGTGGTGGTTTCGCCAGAAATTCAAAGAAATGAAGTTAAATTTGTGTTTAATATTCAGCGTTGTCGCTGAATCGCCGTTAATCGTCCCAGTACAATCAAACATAGACTTCGAAATACGTAAAATATTAATTATTTTCAAGTAATATCTTCAAGTAATAATATTTTATGGATAATATGTATATAAATAAAAGATATTATTTCAAAAAATTTTTGCTTGCTGAAAATGAGCGTCGAGCGTTAACGTGAAAAGGCATCTTTATCATCTACGAACGGCTTATGATTGACTTCCCTGGCCTCCGAATCCACCGACGCCTTCGGAGATGCTTATCATTCAGCTCATTAATTATCATCACTATGTAGATAAAGCAACATTATTGCTTGTAAAAATAAGGAACGAGATGAGAAAACAATTTTACATCCTATAGTCAATTTTTGTTACTTCGAAATAATATTGCAGAAACGTCCGCGTATTCAAAAATACATTTTTGAAATAGTTTGCGTTAGTATTACGGAGCTACCCAAAGTTATTTCAATTTAAAAAGCGCTTGTAATTACGTTGACTGCATTACAAGTTCAAGATATGGCTTGTTATTTTTCTATACTTTCTTTCTCTTTTTCTTGTTAGTTTCTTATAACATTTTATTATTGTCCAAATCTCTACACAATAATAAATAATGAAATCAAATTTTGAATAATAATCAATGGATTTTAAAATATATGTATAGAAATACACAGGCCTTTAATTTTGTAATAACAGAACAAAGATATGACAATTGTCGTCTCATATAATCGCGGGCATATGCCCGTTCTAGACTGGAGGATGAGCCGACTCTCGGCTCATCCGAGTGAGTGGTGTAGACGGGTAAAAATCTATAGGTTATGTATAGTTTATGTCACGTACACTATAGAAGGCGGATGAGCCGAGAGTCGGCTCATCCTCCAGTCTAGAACGGGCATAAGGTATTAAAAAAAAAAAAAAAATAAAGTCAACTATCGCGGGACTGTAACGTTTTTAGCTGTATTGGGTGTTTTCGTAGAATCTGATTTAAAGTTGAGACGGCGCAGGTTGCGGATTTTCTAGGAAAGTTACTCACCCTCAACGTAACGGAATTCCGACGAAGGACGGTCCCTTTGATGTGATGTCGGAAAAAATCCCGCGAGATGCAGCAAGAAATATGTGAACGAAGGAGAATAAAAAGCGTTTCGAGATCGATCCGACGACCCGACGACCCGACGATGAACGGTAGTTCTTCTCGATCGCGCACTCAATCACTAGATATCCTTCCACCTGCGAATAAAGGTCAATGATTCGTCCGGTTATCGAAGATTTTGCACCGTGTTATTCCATCATGCTTCTTCTCGTATATCTTTTCCAGCAACCATTTTTGCAAACGGCGAAGGTGTCCCGCGCGAATACGTGATAACCGAAAATCGTACGCACTCTCGTTCGTCCTTGTCAAAAATTTACATTTCACAAGTGACACGAACGAGAACGGTGTAAGATCTATACATGAAATTACAGAATCTATAAATTATAGAGACGCGCGATTTTCAATGAGCGCTCGTCGTAGTGATTGTAAAATAGAAACGTATTTTTCTAACAAAATTTTGACAATAACTTTAAATAATTTTTTTAATATTAAGTCTAAATAAAGTCCTTAAAAAGAAATTTATAAGTATCTTGTAAATGTATAAAGATTATTAAAAAATATAGAACCATATATATTTAGAAGTAATTAAATATACGTGTTTCAGATGTATATTAGATACATAAATAATTTTATAATCTTAATCTCCCCGAAATCATCTTATACGCGTTACACGTCCAAGAAATAATTAGAGGAATAATTGAAAATAATTGGAAAGTTAACGAGCCTTTCTTTTAGATACACCGTTACCTTAATTTCCAAGAAGCTTATTAATTATTAACCCAAATAAAGTACAATGTTTTGAATCATATATGGACGCGACCGCGATGTTATATATCTACAACGCGCTAAATGAGGTCAAAAAGAGGTGGGTCAGTAAATATGACCTCGGTCCATTCTGACGTAAGGGACACCGTCGTGTGGATGAGCTGGTGCTCCAGGCTGACAGGCTGTGTTTTGTTCAGTATCTACCGTTTTACTAACTCATATATAAGTTTGACTTTTATAATTTAGCAGATCGCAGTAAGCTACGTCTGAATATTGTAAATAACGGAATAATGGACATTACGTGTCTCAAAACTATGTAGAGTAGATTGCTATTTTTTCAATTCCATAAATGTAGAAAAATAAGCGACAAATTGTACTATAAAGAAGATATGCGTAGTTCATTATTTAAAAATATCGATTTTATCGCGAATAAAATTTTATGATGCAGTCGATCAAAATTTTCATAATATATGGTCTGCAATTATGTTGCACATGTGAAACATCATGCGTAATTTGTGTAATGTAAATAATATTATAATGAATATTTCAAACAATAAAAGGATTTTTACAAAAATTAATTTGCTTAATGAAAAATAAATAGCATTTCGATCGTACAGCTCGTTGCGCGTATAACCAGCAAACTTATCGCTAAATCATTCAGATTCTTTTATATTGAATATAATTTCATATAACAATTACAAGTACAAATTTTGATAACAATATAAAACCTATATTTTAAAGAAATATTTTTAAAAAAAATTTTTTAAGAACCAAATAAAATACAGAAACACATTCTGTTAATAAAGCTAATTTGAGTATTATCTCACATATCACCGGTAAATCTTTCCTGCTAAACGCTGAAATTTAGCGTTCCACAATTTTAAAGAAAATTTTTAGACAAATTTAATTTTTAAGTTTATTCGCGATATGATTAATGGATCACTATGAAGAGCGCGATCTATCTCATTTAGCATCTAATGGCAGACACACAAAACTGAAATTTTATTTCCGATTGTTGTGAAGTGCCCCGGACGCACCGATAGCAGAACGAAACGCGATACTAACAGCGTTAAGCGATGAAGATGACGACAATGTTAAGAAATAATCGAAGTTCAGGAAGATCGTGAGTACATTGCGCGCGCGACCGGGCGGGAAACGCTCGTGCTGCACGATAGATCGCGATATACACTCGATCGGGTCCCCCTTTTGCCGCGCGCGCGAGAGAATTTGCGATATATCCGCCTCTACTGAGAACGCACACCACGCACACGGATCCGGATACGAAACGCGTGCGTAACGCCTGATGCGGAGGAAGCGCAGCCACTGAGCGCCGGGGGGTTGCCGCGCGCCAGGCGCCCCCGACACAGCCCGCTCCGTTGGAACTGGTAAGCGATGGTGGGGGCTGGTCGCGTCAGGGCTGATTCGTAACCTGCACGAGCCCCGTAGACGAGGGCTTTACAAATGTATTGAGTTACATAAAGAAAAACAAGCGAATCCTGTGCTTGTATTTATTTGCCACTTTCGCGGGGGCGAATAAAAATTCGCTTTAAAGAGATTTAAAAAAATAATTGTTTATACTATCAGAGTGTTTGCTTGCTCCCGAAATTAAAGCAGAGACTTCTATAATAATTCATGCAAACTGCATTGAAGATATATCGCTCATTATTTGGTACAACAATGATAGAACTAAAAAAATAACATTTTTGGTCACGTCATTTTGTTTGCAAAAGAATATTGAGAATTTAATACACTGAATGAGGAGCTAATATATTGTTAGATACTTTTACTCTTCTACAATCATCAGTTATTACGCCAAAATCGCATTTAAAAATAATATTACTAAATTTTAATGGTTTAAAACATAAATTGAGTTTTTGGAAAACTTTGAGTTATGTCCATTGTTGTTCTAGCAAATGAGCGATATAAACAATAAAAAAATGCAGACTCTATGTTTAATTCTGTATTTAACGAACTTTTGTACTTAAAGGGGGAATCTACTTTAGCCGGGTGAAAAATGATGATTTTTTGGGAATTTTTTACAAGAAAACTATAAGTGATATTGGATTAATTTTTTTTGTAATATGGAAAGGCATTTTTAAAGAAAAAAAAATTTTTTTTTTTCAGTTACGTTAATTTTTATTATATTGACGGACAATTTTGTAGCGCAATGTTGGTAGCGCAACGGTTAGCTGCGTACAGTGTAGCAACGAGCTGAGTAATCTGAAAGCAAAAAATAAAAATTTTCTTTAAAGCTTAATCAATTACGCAGGGATTGAACCTACTTGCAAATAAAAATATGAAAAATTGAAGAAGTTACAGCAATCGTAAGAAAAGTGACATTTTTTTTTATCAAAAAATCGATCTTCTGTTGTTGATAAAAATGTTATAAATAAATAATAAAATGTAAACGTAGGTTCAATCCCTGGAGAAAATTGTAAGGAATTGAATCATGCTTGACGAAAGTTATTTGAGTGATTATTTTTTGAGTTATCTTGTACGCAAAGTTGGAAAAAGTGGTTTTGAGAAAAACGCGTTTAAAGTTTATTTTTTTGCTCTCAGCCAAAAAAGCACGTAAAAATGCATGCAAATTTTAGTATAAAGGTTTTTGAAGTCGCTGAATCCAAATTTGATATCAGATTTTTAAAATTCAAAATGGCGGATTTAATATGGCGGATCAAAAGAGTCTCAGTCTCGGTCTCAGTTGAATAAAGAAATGAAGTTTTGGATGTTTTCACGATACTTACAGTTAAATAACGCTCAATCCGCTATTCCGGGCCCATCTAAAATGCCTTCCTCTTTTTCGTAGAACTCCTGTTCGGCAGTTTTCGTCATTTTCTTGGCTGTTCGAGCTTCTTTAGTGCTTTCCAAAGTACACACACAAACACACACACACAAAAATACTCTAACACATAAATATAAACACTATAGGGTCAAATAAAATAGTTGTAGGTCTAACAAGTATATAGGATTCTTTTGTTCCCGCAATAATAGAACCGAGAACGCTGCGAAACCAGTATTAACGTACGTCTGCTGTATCGATCCTCCGCGCGCCTCACTAAAAAAAGCTGTAATTTCGTCAATTTTACGAGTTTGACGATAATACTTTGGGAATATATTCTTGAAACCTTATATATTTATTTATGCAAAAAAAATATCGATTTTTTTGACCCATTAAAGTAGATTCCCCCCTTAAATAACTAGAATACTCATATCTAGCTTGGCGCTTGGAAGTGAGTATATTTAAAAACGAAAGCATATTTTTTGTGGCAGAAAACAAAGGATTATTATACAAAATGTATATAATAATACGTGTAATGTAACATACGGTTTCGTTTTTCCTCCCTAACAGTATGGGGACGGCGCGTGTCACTTTTACCCGCTAGGAGCGCTAGCGAAATTGGAGACACACTGAGCTGTCACCGAGTACCGAGCATATCGTTAACGAGAAAATCTGTGTACATAAACGTGAATATTTCAGAATTTTTTAACATGCCGGGAATGTGTGTGACATATGGATGTAAAAATAAGGGCATCGGTTCCCGAGGGACAAGAATGACAAGATGCATGATGAAAAATAAACGGTGGATCATCACTGCTATAAAACGCGAGGATTTATGTTCGAATACAAATTTGCAACTAAACATATGTTTCATTATATGTCTATTAATTTTATTGTAAACTCACTACTTTCAAAGCCGGTGGTAATATAATCCTCAGGTCTAAAGTGGTTTGTGCACAGCGAATTTGTATTCGGACATAAATCGCGTTTTATAGCAGTAATCCACCGTTTTTTCATCATCTTGTCTCTCGGGAACCAATGCCCATCCTTAATTTTACATCCATATGCCACACACATTCTCCCGGCATGTTAAAAAATTCTCCATATCTCTCTACTCATTAAACGTAAACATTATGACAAGTCTCCATTTTTAGTACTGCCCTCTGCGCTGAGCTTGTCATCTCGCCGTCCCCATTTGTTCTACTTTTATTCATTTGACTCGTCCGAAATACATGAAAACTTTTTATTGAAATTACTACATCTATATCGGTTCCTGTACTTGAATCCTGGGCGAGGAGAAGTTTTGCGAATATATCTGTTGTAAATATATTGGCGAGAATGATCATATACGCCCATAAAATACTCGTCCCTAATTGATTTGACGCTTGCGCTTCAACCATGAAGAAAATCTCATCGTACGGAGTCACCTGTCTAACCGTCGTCTTTCACGTCGTGAACTTTCCGTAACTTTACCCCAACGCGTTTGTCAAAATCCGACAAAGCCATCGGAGAAAGTTTCGAGTTTTCGCATCTGCGGACCCGTTTGTTCGTGAATATACGGAAAATGTATTTACATTCTACATGTTCAACACTCGCATTGCACGAAATATTGGGTCGCGAAATTTTAACAGGAAGTTGAGCTTCTATAGTTTTCTACTTAATATAATAAACATACATAATTTAATAAATTTCATAGATTTAACAGTTTTTAATTTCAACAGTAATCTCTTAGTTTTCTTTTAAGAGAAAAGATGATTATATTACTTTGTAATTTTTAAAAATTATCTCGGACATTTTTATTATTTATTTCGGATTCTTATCAAGATAAATTTCATAATTAATATAATATTTGCACTCGTTTAAAAGAATGATTAATCATTATATATGTTATGTTATTGATTATTTTGATAATATTTTATTAAATAATCTTTAATGACGTTAAGGGGATCCTAAAGTGAAGGCTGAACTTCCTCGACGTCGGTAATGTCAACATTTCTAATTCTGTTTTCTTGTCATATATCTATATCTGTCCTTGTCTAACGAGAGGTATCTGTCTTTGTTCGATCACTGCGCCATCTCTTGCCACACGCAATAT